GCAAGATGTTTGCACTCCAATAAACTTCAAAACTTTCGGAACGCCAGTGTATTGTTAGCTTTTTTTATTGCTACTACTAGGTACTACACAAACCCAAAGGTATTCTACTCATACAGCTACAGCTACAACTGGTGATGGTCATAGCGGTAGTAGTGGACCTCAGGGTCACGGTTGGATTGGCATGCAGCCAATCACATTGAATCGCATGCTAAGAACCCTTGGCCGAGAGGATGTTGACTGACCTTGGCAGAGACTTCAAGCAATCGGTGTTGAATGTGCAAACTTCGTTTTAAAAAATACATCCTTGCATGGGGGGATACTGCAACACGGGCCTTTGAAGCTTGGACTCCCCGATTCCCACCCCTGTGACATATGTCAACCGGGAGCCTCTTGAAGGCGAAAGCTTTCGCCGTGACAAGTGGTGCCCGCCGCTGTGACGAGTGCCTGACCCGCATCGAGCATCGTCTTGGGCTGGCACCCGTTGTCGCAAGAAGCATCAACAAAAATCTCAGCCAACCATGCTTCTACCACATCGAGCCCAATTTTGATCAGAGTAGGTGAACCTGAAGCCTGCCCAGCCACATTGTCGGGCTTTTTGTGCCTCAATTTTTGCTGCCACAGATACCGCCTGCGGCGGCTTTGGCCCACCTTGGTCAGCATCAAGAGAGCCGCTTGGGCAGAAAAGCAATGGCCACCGATGATGAATGGGCCATGGAGGCCCTGGCCGTGTACCTTATTGTACCTTACACCTTAGACATGCTAGCAGTCTCAAATCGCAGAATGATCGGCGGGATCTGTCTCAAGCAAATCTTAGAGCCCAAGTAGCATAATTGCAAGCAAGAGCGCTGGCAACCAATCCCGGTCCTAGTGCTTGGTGGTACTGGTTGATGGTGTTCAAGGTGTGGTATACTTTAAGCTGCCTGCATGCCCGTGGGACTCAAACAGTCACCCTTCACAAGAGGATGTGCGCATAGATAGCCAGCTGCTTTGAAGGTGTAAGGTACGTATTCAGCAGATGTCAGCAAGAATGAGACTGATCCCTCGAACCCCAACTGAGGATGGCTTAGGTTCAGACAGTCCGGCCTGACTTGGACTCCCCGCTCAACAAAGAGTCAGGGCTCCACCTTGGGCAGCGCGAGTCAGCTCATGGGTCACGCTGAGTTTGTTCATTCCGCCATGTTGGATTGCGGCTGATCTGCAAAGTTTCGACCTGCCGGGCATGTGAGCGACGCAGGGCTTTTCAATGGCCAGGAGAGGAATACATACTCCGGTCCTGGGAAGGCTCAGCGCAGCCCATGCTGTCTGACGAGTCTGAACGGACAACAAGCTTGTTTTGGCTTACATCCCTTGCCTAGCTTGAGGTGCGGTACCCTCAGCATCAGGCGGTAAGCGTTACTATGCGTTAGTCTTGCATCATTTACGACTGCTGGGTTCTCACACCTCATCATAGCACAGTAGCTGCTACACTCATCCAAGGTGCAGGACCTGTCACGTGAACAGCTACGAGCAAGTATCAAGCATCTTGGCTTGCTAAAGGATTTTGTTCACAGGCAATTGACGGTAAACAACTGTGATTTTGGAAGCCGTCGAACTAGATCTACATGCAAAGGCTTTCCGCCGTGGCGCTCTATGAAGCCCTCGGCGCGGGGGCTCTCTCACCGCTCCGTGGCAACCTGGCCAAGCTTGAGGTGCTTTTTACAGTACAGTCGAAGAATGTCGAAGACAACCTTCATGGAATCCATTTCGGGGCTGGTTCTCTAGTCATACTGGTTGTTCTTCTGGATATCACAAGGAACTTCTACACCTGTCTCAAAGATTACAGCTTCTCGAAAAGTTCGCGTTGTCAACATTTCAGCTTTGGATCCGCAATCGGGGCCATCTGTCGACGAGCACGAATTCTCCACCGATTTCTCAACGAGAGATTCAGGTGCATCACATGTCACAGATGAATTGCGGAATCTCGAAGGAAACCCTGCGGGCGCTAACCTCCAGAGCCTCCGTAAGCTGGCGCGCCTTCACCGCATCAAGGAACTAAAAGCTGAAGGGCGCAGGCCCAGTTAGCACTGCTGCCCGTGCTTTCATGTCATTGAGAGATAATCTCAAGTTCCGCAGCCGGAGGCGAGAGAACCTTGCATTCTATCGCCATGGAGCAGCCTCTTTTGGCATAAAATTCAGCTATGCTAGAGTTCAGCAGGTAGACTACAAGTACCAAAAAGACCTGTAGTTCCTATGCTGCCTATGCTGATTATCTTGCCCAATAACAGGCGTCTACCAGGTCAGATCAGGTCTCCGGCACAGGATTCGAATTCACGGCCTAGACACTGATGAAGCAACCTAGAGGCAAAGTGCCGAAGTAAGCAGACAAAGGCATGAAAATGATAGAACTTTCAGAGATTTTCAGAGCTATGTAAATTACAACGCGTCTCCTTGCTTCTCTCGCAGGTGTGTGCAGAGTTCTTATCAAGAGCCCCCTGCCTAAATCCTGCCAAAGAAGGATGGTCCTGGAACTCGCACGAGGCCATCACGAATCCGTGTTTGAGCAACAGAAGAGGAGTAAGACGGCTCCGCCATTCATGACTGTGATTTTCAGATGTTGGCTTCGGTTTCAGCTAACCAGCTGTGTCGTCATCCAACCTGACAACTGGCTTTTGTTGCCCCTGAAGACTATGAGCATCAGCGTGGCTGCCGTTTCAAGTGGCTGCTGCACAGTCGTTTGGACCCGCTGCCTTGAGGTATACAGTGGCAGAGAGGGACATGCGGCAAGTGCAGGAACACAATGAAGAGCAGGTGTAAGACAGCGTATGATATGCAAATCATGACACCTTGTGGCCTGTTTGCTGTTCCAATCATGCCAGACTTCTGTAGGCATCAGCTGCTTGATTCATGGGCATGATGAACACACAATGCTGGTCCAGGACATGATCTGGGTGGCAAACCATCCACCCCTCACGTTGTTCAACAGGCGTGTGCTAGCTGCTAGAGGCTTGTGCAGCGTCTCTATAAGGGCAGCACGGAAGTCACTGAAGTCTTAAACTCGGGCATGACTGTTTCGTAAATCCGGCTTCCATCATGAATTTGCCCGTTTACCTTCTGGAGGTCGAAGATTTGGACGGCTCCCCTCCTCGGCGCTCGTGGCTGGGAGCATACAAACAAGTGGCCAGGGCCGCATCTAGCAGCTGCAAGTTCACGTCCAAGCTGCTAAGTACAGAAGTCTCGTTTCAGGACAAACTGACAGGCTTGTTAGGCAAGTCTCTTCACGAGTCTTTGCAAAAAAAACTTCGTTAAGCTCCCTGTCGTCAGGTTCATCAAGAACGACTGGCATGCCATCGTCCCTCGTGTCCTGAAGCAGTTAGATCTGAGTTTGGACATGGTGCAGAAGCTTTGTCAGGATAGTAGAAGCTGTTGCGGACCATCGCAAGCAAGAGTCTCTGGGTAGAACCTGCTCGTGTCATCTCACAACGTGGCTGAGACATCAAGGTCACCTGGCCAATGCCTACTGGGGCCGATGGAGCCTGATCAGACATGGGCCTTGTTCTGAGCTGGAGTTCTGTAGCTTCCATCAGATAGATGGCTTCTGTTGGGAAGCAGTCCACAAGATTGTCGCTGGGGAGTGAGGGAAGTGTGTACTGGTTTCCGGGCTACTCCAGCCAACAGCAACTAGCCAAGTCGTGCTAACTGGTACGAAGTTATCCCCCACCAGTTCAGCATGGTTTTGTTGTAATGACTGCGAATTTGCGTTGCATTTCGCAGCAGGATTGGAAGTACAGAGCGGCCACGGTTTTCGGAATGTTTAGCAGGTTGGCCCCATGGACTCCCATGAGTGAGCCTGGCGAGCTGCTTGCCGCTGTGTTGGCCGTGCCGGGAATCCCAGCTGAGCCTCTTCCAAAGCTCCTGGCACCAGCAGTAAGCTGAACTGAATAGCCACTGCTAGCAAGGGCCAGGGAAAAGTTGTGGTGAGGCCGCAAAAATTCATTTCCTGGTCCCTTCTGGAGGCTTGAAGTCCCGACGGGCCAGTTCGATGCGATTTTCTGCTTGGAGAACTGCCATGCTTGGGCTTGCCACCTGGCAAGCACAACTGAGGGCCCCGAGAGCTATGGCTTCTGCATAGTCGCGAGCACTGTCGCAAAAGTATCAGCTCCAAGGGTGATTTCATTGGCTGCGAAAGTAGATGCTTCAGATGCTCGAATTGGTATGCCCAAAGCCAAATCCTAGATGCCCCCACAAGTGCAACCTAAAGCAGTCCAGAGGCCAGTTCAAATCCTGGTTTTCTCCTGAGATGCGATTGTCACGCTGGCGGTGGCCAGACAGCAGGCTATGGCTTTGGACAAACCGTTTCTCATAGGCATGATAGTGTTTATCGTCAGATTCGTAGGCAGTTGTCATACAGGAGAATGATCAGTGTCTGTAAGCCTGCAAACACCGAAACTGCAGAGTGCTTCCACTGAGTAAACCTGGCGTATAGCCGCTCTGAAGTGACCAGCAGCTTAAACCAGGCTCCAAGCTGGAGAAGCCACAGTTTTATGTTCCGCAGCTGCCTTCTCAGTACTGGAAAGTTGAGATGCTTGAGCACGTCCCGGAGAGTTGTGGAAGGCAGCGGCTTACCAGCATTGCTTTGGCGCTGGAACGTGGCGAGCTGCGCTGGGCTCGCGATGGCCAAGGCTTTGGGCGCATGTTTGACGACTTGTTTTGTTGGGGAACCTCGGGTTGTCAAACTTCTGACCGTTGAGGGACAGGCACGGGCAGGGAAGCACTGGATCGTAAAGGCTAGTCCACATGATCTGCTGGGATCCAAAGAGATGAGGCGAGGTTGGAAGCCCATTCCAGGCAAGGGTGTTGAGCCACTGGTCGTGTCCAGGCTACGATGATTACATTGTTCATCGAACAGATCGGAACAGCGTTCATTGCAGCCATTTGCAGAAACTGAAGCAACCAGGCAAGCGTGAGCTATGACATGCATTCCGATCTGATAGCAGTCAGGACATACCACGCAACTCGAGAATGTGATTTACTTTTTAAGAATGGCTGCGTCTCTTCCCAGGTGTGCGGCTGAAGCCAACGAACTTTAAAAATGCGAGCGACAAAAATTCCATCAAGATATCATTGTCATAGATATTGAAATCGGATAGGGAGAATTCCGATGATTATTCTTTGGATACATTCAATTCGAAAATACTATACCAGACGGATGGTCAGATCACGTGACTTGAACCTCCATGCGGCAAAACGAGCGTGCATCAGGCGGATTCATGATTTCAAGAAAATTTCTTTCGAAGGCATGAATATTCTTTAGCTAAATAAGCAGGAAAAAACTTCTATATGATATCTATAATCAATTCATATCGAAATTTCTTCAAATATATCTATAATATCTAGATTGATAATAGAATACAGGATATAGATTTTTTCTTCAAGATAGGAAAAAAGAATTTCATTATATATATTATTTTAGCTATTCTGATTTGAATTATTTATAAGATATATATTCTTAATATTTCTTTTCGATGAAAAAAAAATATTTGAAATATATTTACTCTGAACAAATTATGAATTATAATTTAGAAAAATTCGGCGATTAAAATAAAAAATAAAGATATAAATTTATAAGAATAATTTTTAGATAATTTTCAATTATGATTTAGAGATGGAATCTGAAATTTGATCGTATTTTGTCGAGATTCTAGTAAATTTATTTTCGGAGATTAGAAATATTTCATTTATATTTCTTTTATAATATATTTTTCTGATAGAATATATTCTTCTCTTTGAATAATTTATCGATTTTTTTCTCTGAGCAAAATATTTTTCTATATTTTAATTGAATCGAGAAAGAAATAGAATTTAAATGATTTATTGCTTGCTATCGCGGAAAAAAAAAAATAGGAATGAAAATGAATAAAAATAGAAAATCTCATATGAAATCTGATTAATAATTATTAAAGAAAATATATGATATGAATATTGCATAAATAAATCGAGATCTCGAGAAAAATATTGCTCGCTAGAGAATTGAACAAAGGAATAATTCGAAATCTCGAGAAAATTTAGATCGCGTAATACCCCGTAGCCACCCTAATTTTTCTATATCGTTTATCCTTCTTAGAGTATCTACGCGACGAATCGAGAGAATATATTATTATCTATAAGGAGAACGATTAATCGCATATATATTCAAAAAAAGATAAATTATATAGAAGATCGTTCTAGATATAAGCTAAAGAATTTTAGATCTCCGTCTTAGATCTATATAGGATTTATCGGACGATTACGCAAATAATCAAGCATTTTGAATTTCGGGAGAATTTTGGTCGCGGGATCCGAATATCCGGTCGAGTCTTTCCGCTTCAAGCTAGAAATTCTAGAAGTCTTTAATTCTCCGTCCTAGATCGATATATTCTGCCGAACAAATGGACAGATAATCAAAAAGACAAAAATCACGTGGAAGATCGCTCCTGAATCTCCATGACGACAAATACGCCTCCGCGCAAATAGCCAAAGAGAGAGAAATATTCGAAATCTCGAAAATCTTGTAGTCGTACGGTCTCCATATCCGAACCAGTCTTCCCGCCTCATTTATCTCCTTTTATTATCTGCGCGGCGATTGGGGCGAATATATATATATCCGTAGAGAGATACGGTCAATCGATATATTCTGAAAAGATTTTGATTCTCAATCCCGGATCTATACGTTCCGTCGAGAAGTCCTTCAGATAATCAAAGAAAAATGAAATATACGGACGATGTTCCGAAAGCAAGTTACAAAATTTTGGATTATTATCTCAGATCTATATATTCCCAAGCCGCCTCTCCCCAAAATCCAAAGAGAGAGAAATAATTCGAAA